CAGGACCCCTTGCCAGGGGGCTATGCCCACTGGACCCCTGTGGTAGTATATATGGCTAGAATTCACCCTCGCAATGTAAACAAGATGAGCAACTTAGCCAAAATTGGGGATCTTCTCTTTTCTTTTACATATAGCACCCTTTGGAAGCATTTGCACATATATTGCCATAGAAGAACTTTGTCTTGGTTTGTATTGTTCTATCATTTCATGTAGGTTTTATTACCCAACTCTGCCGCTACCTTATGCTACATATTGTCCAAAATGTCCACTCAAAAACCAAGTCCTCAACACTCACACAGCCAGAGTTCTCAATGTTGTGTTTTCTGTAATATGGCATGAATTGCTAATAAAGGGGGGTTACAGGGGCCTTACCCTCCAGTTTAGGAAATAGGTAAGAAATGTTAGGTTTGGATAGCCTGGGTTTGGGTCTCTGGAGGGTGCATCACTCTTTGGAACTAATACTTTATTGATAGTATCATTAGTATATGTTTGCCCCATCAGTTCGTAGAGGAAAAATTCAGGGTTAATGTTACTCAGAGTGATGCACATAGAGATTGAGGAGAATAGACACTGCCATCTTGTAGAGCATAAGAAATAGAGTAGGAAGTAATACAGGTAAATCTACAGCAATATTATATGCACCGGGAAATGGCAAAAATATCCTCTGCATGTCACTGCTCAGAGACATAGTCCACAACACCCTCACACAGCCAGTTCTTAATGTCTGGTATTCCATAGCTCTATTTTATACATTTTCTATGCATCTGTTTTCTAGAATGATTGCATTTTCTGTTGACAAACTGGGAAATCATTTCCAATTAGTTATTTATTTTCATCATTATCTTTTCATATTCCTCATTACCTTTTCTTTCATTTTTTGATGCCACTAGATCTATTTGGTTGCTTTCTCAAATGCATATGTGTTTGTATTTTGTTCTTCCTTATCATTTCTATTATCCATTCTTAACAATTTAATGACATTACTGCTTGATTACCTTAGTTACCTCCCATATCGGAACAATACACACTCTCAATCACCTCCTCAGTTTCCTTTAAGCTTTTCCCATTCCAGGACCTTCAGACTTCTGTGGTCAGTGACATGGGGTATGTTTGATTTTATATTTAAATATTATTTTATCAGTATTGTGTTACTTCTGTGGTCAGTGACATGGGGTATGTTTGATTTTATATTTAAATATTATTTTATCAGTATTGTGTTACTTTTATCACCATAGATCATTACAGTGTTATTGATGTTTATTAACCCAATGCCGACGGGTCGGAAAACAGCTCTGGAGCTGTTGTGCTGAGGAACAAAAGCAAACGGCTGGTTCTCTTGCTGAGACACGCGTTCAACTCGTGCTACCTGTCTCAAAACCCCACCAAAGTTTTAGCGCGCTCTGGCAGCTGGTTTGTGTATAACCTCAACCTCCGTTTTTTCTCTCTAGAAACATGTGAAAGTTTGCAGACTTACTGTAGCAATATAATGTCATATGAAGGATTTTATTGTCTCATACTGTAGTATATACTCCATTTTAGGAGTGTTTGACCAATGTGAGTGTGTAAAGTCAATAGTTTGTTTTGGCGAGAGTACAGAAAAGCAGTGGTAAGACAAATTTTTATTTTTTTCAAAAATTGAAAAATTTACATATTTATATATGTACAAATATATACATATATACAAGTTGGGACATGTCACAGCTGGAGCACATGACTCTGGTCTCCTTCCTGCGCCGGTCGGTCCTCCAGCAGAACGCACATCTCCACCACCTCTGGAAAGGGGTGTCAACTGTCATGTCTGCCTGCTGGGGATCATCCTCAGTTTGGTTCTGAGGAGGGTTCTGCCAGAAGGAGCCAGGTCGACCACCTGTAAATGCAAGAAAAAAGGACCAAGGGCATACCCTGCATGTTGGCACGTACTGTGCCGTCAGCGCTGGTTTTCCTGGCCTGCAGATAGTGGAAGAGAGTCGGGGATGAATACCAGTTGTCTGTGTACAACTGATACCCTTTGTCGAGCAGCTTTGCCTTCTTCATCAGGTCATCAAAGGCCTTCACACTTGCTGGAAACTCGCCGCGATCCTGCCCCATGTAGATATTGAAGGCCTGACTGATTGTCCTATCTCCAACAAGGACTGGTCGGCACGTGAAAATGACCTGCTCTCCTTGTTAACTGTGTTGCAGTGGCAGTACAGTGGTACACTATTCCTCCCAGTGGCCACCAATATTGCCAAGATTACCTTTTTGTAGACATGACCTTCCCCATGGAGTTTATATTGGTAGTGTGTCCTGCCCTGTCTGACCATATTGACCCCTTCCAGATCAATGTCAGAAACAATGCTGTTTTGTCTACCCAGCCAAACACTGTTGCTCCACAGCCTGTTACTCTCTATGTGCTCAACCTGGTCATGACAAATTGCTCTGCTCAGTCACACATGTGCTAAGTGTCGTGGCTCCCAAATTGTACAAGCTATAATCTGAGGTAGCAGTCCTCAAATCCCAAATAGGCTTCACTCAACATGAGGACAGACAGGAAGCATGCTGACAAGTTTTTCCTCTATCTATTCCAAAACTGTCCTTTACAAAACTGTCCTTACAAGCATTTCAATATCTTGTTGTGGCTGAAGTTACTTATAATGTTCACAATGCAGTATCAAGTACTATACTGGTGTTGTAATTCATTACTGTGTGATGTTATCTAGTTTGTGTATGCCCTTGTGTAAATGGTTATCAATTCCTGCTCCTTCATGTTTTTGTATTTTATGTATTCTTTTAATATTATTATGCATATTTGAAAATTTATCAGTTATTTATTTGTTTTGTTTATGTTTAGCAGGGTATTTTTACAACAATATAGACATTAGTGACCATGATACCAGAGTGCATTGACTGCTTCAAGTATCAAAAGAATAAAGATTAAATACCAAACAGTTTGAACAGAAGATGGAATCGAAGACAGTTGCAATTTAATTTTTTTCTGAATTCAAAGTTATGTGGGTTTCAGATAGCAAATTGTATGTATAAACAAACAAATTATTTTAAAATTAATTCCAAAGAGAAAAGTTGCAATACTGCTTAGCCCCCAATCCTAGGGGCCCAGGGGACTGTCTGTCAATTAGATGAGTTTTATTGCTTTTATGTATTGCATATCAACCACAGGGTCCAGCAAGTATATGGTTAGAATATTTCATTTATTTATTTATTTATTTTTGTTTTAAATTCATTCTATTTTCAATTTGTTTTATCTTGTAACTTCCCTGGTGAATTTCAGGCCTTTCTCTACTATTAGGATTATCAGATCAATCTTTTATTGCACCTATCAATATTGTTCTATATTTACTGTGTACCTGTACTTCTCAAAGAATATCATATGGAAAAGGGTAAGTGATATCTCTGGTATTACACATTTTTGTACATGCTTATTTTTGCAGAGTGAAGAAGGCCTTTATAGGGGTAAGGCTTGAAGCCTTTTAATTTGACAAGATTGTGCAGCTTTCACATCTTGATATACAAGATGTATTTGTACAACCTGACTCTACAGCGTGCATCAGGCATCACCCATGCCGTGCATGGTAATTTTTCTGGGACACGCACACAGGAACTAGTGGTGTCTCGAGGAAGATCATTGGAACTTTTAAGACCTGATCCAAATACTGGGAAGGTGAGAAGTTTTCATTGATGGAAATATTTCCTTGCTGTGTATTTCTATTTTGCCTGTTTAAAATGTAGAAAATTATTGTATGATGCATTATTTCTAAATATTGTGTATTCTATATTCTGGTCATAAATAAAGTTTTGAAATTGGTCAAAGGAATGTTTTTCTTATAAATTCACTGGATTTTTTACAGGTGCACACCATTTTGACAACAGACATATTTGGCGTTATTCGTTCATTGATGGCATTCAGATTGACTGGTGGAAATAAAGGTATGTTTATTAATGAGTTTATTTACATGTAAGATCTAAGAGATACACTTCTGTCTAAAGGTCTCATTTCACCATTTCTGAATTTTGTGGAGAGGAAATAAGCATTCAAAGTTGGGTGTTTTATCAAAAATGCTATTTTGGAAATATTTATCCTTCTCGTAACAGCTTCATCAATTAAAGTTTTGAAATACCATTTTAATTTGAATTGTCATATTCTTCCCTTGTATCTTAGCTAAGATTAACCCAAATCCGACAGGCATGGCATGTATGTATATGCCATTCCCACTGTGAGCTCACTTCATTAATTGTTTTTACAAATAGATGGCTACATATGTACTAAGTCACCAATTAGCCAATTATGAGTACTGCCTGTCTTGCCAGTTTGCCCTTTTCCTTGATTTTCAAAATATTTTACTTCATCTTATATTGGTGTTACTAATGTCAGTAACATTACAGTAATTATAATGTCTATAATAAAAGTAACAACACCAATATTCATATCATTATTTGATAAAAAAAATGTTTTTACCACCAATTCAAGGAAACATGAAATCAAATAAGCTCACAAGATCTATTAATTGACTCCCTTGAGGCTGAGCACTAGCAGAGCCATCTATGTGAAGAAACATTTCTCAAAAAAAGAAAGAAAGAAAGAAAGAAAGAAAGAAAGAAAGAAAGAAAGAAAGAAAGAAAGAAAGAAAGAAAGAAAGAAAGAAAGAAAGAAAGAAGAAGAACACAGCATTTTCCCAGCAGCATGGAGCTAACACCAAAGACAGTTATTCACTTTAGTCAATTCAGAAATGTAGTGGGAAGAGGGCTGTGCTAAGGCAGACTAGGACATGAGCTCATGAATGTCCAGTGATCACTTATGTGTGCGATAATCCATTAGTTATAAGAGATCAAAGGTAGAAACCATTTGGTTAGATACAATTAATGAATTGTGATACATACCACTTATCATTTCAGATTATGTTGTGGTGGGATCTGACTCTGGCAGAATCACCATTCTAGAATATAGTCAGGCAAAAAACCAGTTTGAGCGCATCCACATGGAGACGTTTGGTAAAAGTGGTTGC